CATTGGGATGCTGATTCGTAGATCAATGAAATTCATTGGGATGCTGATTCGTAGATCAATGAAATTCATTGGGATGCTGATTCGTAGATCAATGACTGGCAAAGAGCGAGTTCTCAATAAACATCAGCTGCAGTGAATCGCATTGCGCCCACTGTTATCTGCCACTGCCCATTTATTATAAAGTTAACAATTATTGAGTCAAATATTGATTTTCATTTAATATTAATTGAAATGGACAGAAACCTTTTGTGGTGGAGCTTTCATTATCCCATTTCATAGGTGAAAAAATTGAGATCCTGAGAATTTACTGACTTGCTCTGAGTCACGTGACTAATAAAAGACCGACAGAAGTGGGATTGAAACTCAGCTTTCTTGACTGAAGATCCAGAACTCCTTTCATGTCCCCACAGCTGCTTGGTTTTGGGCAGCATTTGGGCTCCTGCCTCCATCCACTCCCTTCATGTAGGTCCTGGTGCTGGAAGCTGGCAGGGCCACCTGTCTGCAGGGACCGCCTTGCATTCCTAGAGCTCCAGGCCCTCAGCTGCCAGTTGCCGAGCATACTCATGTAATCTTAATGAACAATGTGCAAAGCCATTAAAAACTCAATTAGGACTTTCTTTTTACAGCCAACGTGAGGAAATGCAATCCTGAGGTGCTCATGTGTAAACACAATAGCCACCATCTGTTACAGAGAAGTGTTTTGCCTCCAAAAAGGGGGTCTATGTTATAGACACATCAGTCACAGGGCGCTTATCAAGGCATTATTATGCACAAAGGGGAAAAAATGCTAAATTTATGACCAGCCAGAGAGTGCTTCCTGTTTTAATTCCACAATTTTCAGTGTTATGTGTAATAACTACGAGGAAACTAATGCTGTTTTATGTTCCTTATCACATTAGTAGAATTTTTTTTAAGGGCAAAGGGAAAAGAATGTATTTACAGTCTTCCTCTTTCTTGTTTTTGACTGATCTTGGCATAATGACTGGCTCATTTTTGATCTCCAGGAAACTGACAGCCCCGGATGGTATTAATTATGCCAACCTGTTGATCAAAGAGGGCCCCACTGAGCTTCCGCTACACAGAGCCTTCACTCCTGAGCAGTCTCAGAAATGGCAGCCTGTGTTCAACTCAGAGACTTGGCTATCTGCCTTTTTAGAGGACATGGCCAGGCCTCTGTAAGGTAGGGTAGAGGTGGAAGAGCTATAGATGACCCAACCTACCTCTCCGAAGGCAGTACACTTGCTAATGGACGCTACAGCTTCTTGTTTCTGTGCCCTTGCAATTCTATTCTCTCTAATTTCAAATGCCTTCCAAGTTACCGCCTAGAGTTACTGCTCTTAATGATGTCCCTATTTAGAGCATCTTGCAGCTTTGCTTAGTAACTATCATTTCAAGTCTTATTTCCTTGAATAAAGCGACTTGGAGGAAATGGAGGCCCTGCCAGGGTGCCAAAATAATAGTGATAATTCTACCTGTGGAAATAGTAAGCTTCAAGATTTCAGTGGCTCCATATCTCAGTAAAAGTTTATTCCTTTTTTACTTAAAGCTCCAAATGAGTATTTCAAATAGGTGGATGTCCTGTACTACAGTCGTGGTCATTTGGGGAACCAGGATCATTTTATTGTGGATGTGTATACCTCCTAGGTTCTTGAAATCCTGAATATTCGGCTGGTAGATGGGAAAAGAGAATAGAGCAGTGATTCTCACATTTTAATGTGATACATATTACCTAGGGATCTGTTTAACAGGTAGATTCAGATTCAGTAGGCTTGGGATGGGGTGAAATTCTTATTTTTTACAAGCTCTTAGGTAATTCTGAAGTTGTTGCACTGAGGACCATCTTTGGAGAGACAAGATGATGAAGGAAGGAGGCGTGGGAGTTGGAGGGAGGCACCTTCATAGGCCAGGCCTAGAAGAGGTGCACATCATATGCACACCCTGGTGACTAAAACTCCGTTGTATGTCCCCACCGAAGGATGAAGGATTGCTTGGGAACATGATCCACTCGGTGGTACATGCAGCCACGTAGAATGGAGTAAACCCTACCTTCTCCATCAGCCTGCACTTCTGCTGAAGCTAGGATGAACAGAAATGGAGACATGAGCTGGAGGAAGGGCAACTCCCCCACCGCTCTGTTGTGGATTGTGAGAAATCTAGAATATATATGCACCTGCTGCAAGTTGGCAGGGGCAGGAGCTGAAGTGTGTGGGGCCTCATGGGATCCAGAATGGAGAGGGCCAGGCACACCTTTCTTCTCAGGCTGCCTCCCTGATCTCCCCATGGGAGATGCCCCACTACTCAGTGTCAGGAGCACTTACCCATCCAGTGGGGGCTTATGGGTCATTGCTCATCTATCCAAGGAGTCCTGGACCCTGGTAGGATATAGGACAGCAGACAGATATGGGCCTAGATGATGGCTCAGTCATATCTCTGAGCCTCAGTTCCCCCTTCAGTAGTTTCTTCACTGCCTGGCTGTCAAGTTATGACAATTAAATAGCATGTGTGACCTGGAGATAGCATTCCTAAGTTATGGCCTAGCCTAAGTTACAGCTAGGCCATAAAATAAGATCCTTCACTGTCTTTTAAATGGTTGTTTCATATCCAGTGGCTGGTGAATTTTATGATTGGGCAAATTATCAAAATATGAAGGCATTTCGTTCAGGTTTCTTTGCCTTTGCTGTCTTGCTTCTTATTGATTCCTTTTTGGTACAAGCCCACTCAGCTGTCCTAAGTAGTCATCTTAGTAGAACAGTTCTTGTCCTAGGAATCTGGACAATGTTAGAATGGTGTCCAGTCCACCCATTTGCTCCTCATGCTGTTTTCTGAGGGAGGAGTGAGTGGGTAATAAGAAAACTAATTTGACCTCAAGTCTACAAGATGCTTCCTGTAATCCAGCTTTGGGAGTAATAACATGGAGGTTTCAAACTCAGTTGCTTGCCACTGTCTGTTTGTAAATTCACTTGGAACTCAGAGGAGATAGGGTGTGAATGAATGGTCCCTTCTAAACCCCAACAAGATGTGAATTACCCAACACTTATTAAATGGCATCTGTTAGTTCTTCTGACATGAGGGTGAAAGAAGAAGGTGACTTATGTTTGTTGAAGTGGGTCATCTTGGCTGGGGAGAAGTTGTTTTATAGTTTCATTCTGAATGAAGATTTTAGTGGTTAATGTGAGACTTTAAAGCAGCAAAACATTCATCCCAGAGTCACTCAAGTTTAGCTGTTTTGTTTTATGATGCAGTTTATTTGGTAGTATCATAAGACTTTAAGTCCCAGAGTTAAGCCCTTCTAGGTGATTGTGAAATTCCCTGGCATATCTCCTTAGTTTGTCGAGGCTGTGTCTAGCCACCCATGGTGGGGATGGGAGGGACTCTTTTTGTCTCTGGGGAGTCAGTCCCATTTTTGCACCAGCTGTACCTGTTAGAAAGTTTGTGGCATGCTGTGACCACAGCCTTGCAGCATAACAATCCAAGGGGAAATCCGTGGAAGACAAGAATAAGCATTTATTGTCACAGTCATGGGTCTGTGCACTGATTATGGGGTGGGGTGATGGCCTCGGTTGAGCTTGTTGGCCATGTGGCTGTGCTTCTAGCTGCCAGGGTGGCCTGGCTTGGCTCTTCACTTCCGAGCTCAGGTCTCCTCCATCTGTGCTTGTTCTTAATCCCAACCTGAAAGGGGCAAAAACTACCTGAGGCACATTCTTGTTATGAAAGGTGAGAGTTGTACGAGAGGGCAAGTCAAGGTAGGCAAGCATATTTTAAGCCTCTGCTAGAATCCTGTTGACCAAAGCAAATCAAATTGTGGAGCCCAAAGACAAGAGATGGAGACAGATCCTCTGCTTTTACTTGGAGGAGCTGCAAAGTCAAAGGCAAAGGACTTGGACCCAGGGCAGGATCCAAGGATCTGTGACCAACCATTTACTCTGTCAGAGCAAAAGAGACTCATTTCTTTCCATGAGTTAGCTTTTTTAATGCTTACAAATTGTAGTTGTGTTTTCTGCAAATAGTAATAGTAGCATAAACTTAAAAGTTACAGAGAATATGGGTCCCTCCCTCTCTGACCAAGAAGCCCAAGGAAAGTCATTTAATCTTTAGGTAAAATGAGTGTCTTCTATATCTCAGGGTCATTTGAAGATTAAATTGAAAAATATACAAACAGTACCCCTAACGTCGACACTGGTACTCTGTAAATGCTTGGGAAGTTTTACTTTCCATTCCTCATTTACATCTTCCAGTAGGTTCTTATATTTCTTCAGGTACTTTATTTCTTACTTGACTACACTCTACTTCTACATGCTTTAAGATTTAATAGCAATTTACTGTCCTAAATGCAGGATTTCAGATGGAGTTTGTTGGAACAATACCACCTCCCATATCGTAGAAGTTCTGCCTCCATTGAAATAGTCCAAGCTTGCATAAGTCTATTTTCATCTCATTTCACCTGCAGAGGTTGCAGTCAGCTTACTTTCTGGGTTTTTATTTCGTGCTTCCTTCAGGAGCCACTGGCTATAGTGTTCTTTTAGTATGTGTTTATAGATTGTCTATCTTGTAAAAGTATTTCCTACATGCTACCGTGTCTTAATTCCTAAAACGCAATGTTGAATAGGGATTTTTAGTTCCAATTATAGCAGAGGATACCCAGGTTTAGGGAGGCGATGTGGTTTTCTCAAGGTCAATTAGACCCTCCCTCTTAGAGTGATTTTATTTCCAGCCATTCCTCTGGCCACCATGTTTGTTGATGTAACTGATTTTCAGAAGGATTTTCTTTCTCTCTCCTGTCTCTGCTTCCCACTCTCAATGTGGGCCTCCAGGATCCTTCATGATGGTGAACAGCTCTGGGAGGGCCTCTGGCCAGAAGGCTCACCTTCTTCTGCCCACCTTGAAGGAGAACGACACCCACTGCATTGACTTTCATTACTACTTCTCCAGCCGTGACCGCTCCAGCCCGGGGGCTTTGAATGTCTACGTGAAGGTCAATGGTGGACCCCAGGGGAACCCTGTCTGGAATGTGTCTGGGGTAGTCACCGAGGGCTGGGTGAAGGCGGAACTTGCCATTAGCACCTTCTGGCCACATTACTACCAGGTAGGTCATTTTACCAAGGTTTGGTATTTGGAAAGTGATGACAATACACCTTTACACCCCTTGTTCTACCTACAGTGGTTAGGTCTGAAATGGACTTTATTTATTAACTCACACATTCACCTCCCCTGTTCACCAGGCTTCTTTTCCTGTTGAGCCCTGTATGTTCGTTTAGAAATGACCCAACAGGCCCTCTGCCTCTATGGAGGTCATGGTCTAGAGGAGGAGACTAATACGTACATAAACAATTGGAACATAGCACAATGTGCATGGCTCCCCAAGGAGCTGGAACAAAGTAGACACAGAAGCCTTTTATGAACTAAATGCTTACAACAACTCAATTGGGGAGGTACTATTACATGCGTATTTTACAGATAAAAAGACTGAGGTTCAGAGAGATGAGCTAACTATTCAAAGACCAGCCCTGGGAAGGGCTGATTGGTAGGGAAGGTAATTAGGATGGCTTCTATGACATGACAGTTGAGCTGATCCTGAAGAGTGAATAAAATATAATGGACAGAGGACGGAAAGACATTTGAGTGGTCACAGTATATGTGATGGACAGTCACAGAGTGAATGAGAGATTATGAGACACTCTGAAAGCTCTCGGTCCTTTGAGGGTTCATTGTAAAGGAATAATATGCAGGGAGATGAGCCTGCAGGGCAATTCTATTACTGGAGTTTGTAATACCAGCTTAATAAGATAGAACCCCTTCTGTGGTCAAAAGCAGTGCTACTCAAACTGTCTCTGAGGAAGGACCGCTTTCTCCCCTAACTCACTATGGACCAATACCTGTACAGATTACAATTTGAAAGTGTCCTGGCGGTGCTAAATGGCATATGCTTCTAAGCACCTCTTTCACCTTCCCTGCTTGTCTCATTGTGAACTGATCGCACGTGGTACATGGATTGGTAGCCCACAGAGCAGCCTTGGAGCGATACAGCTCTGGGTCTTTTTAGTTTGAACCTGTTGAGGGTATTTTTTGTTGTGGTTTTTTAAACAAAACTATTAAGGTAAAACTGAATCCGTCTTTTTAAATTGTGGAAGCAGTGGTTTTTTTCAGTACCGGGGACTGACCCTAAGGCTCTCACACTGAGCTATATCCTCAGCTCCTCCTTTGTTTTTTTTTGTTTTTTTTTCCTGAGACATGGTCTCACTAAGTTGTCCAGGTAGGAGCTGAACTTGCAATCTTCCTGCCTCAGCCTTCCAGCGTGCTGAGATTATAGATGTGTAGCACCATGAGCAGTTGAATACAGTGATTTGTAGTACACCTACTAGGTTGTGCAACCATCCTCATTTTTAGAACATTTTTGTCATCTCAATAAGAACCCCTCGGTCAATGTACAGTTAATCCCCCATTCCCACTGTGGAAGGTTTGGCCAGGGCCACTTACACCTCCTCCAGTCTCATATTCAGGGAGCAGTCCTCTCAGATTGTAGTGTTAGAAATAATTTGTTTATCAAAATCACTTGTTGACTTTTTGGGATACAAGTATGAGATGATTCTAGCTTTATTTTCCCTTTTCATTGGCAACTAGAAGTCAGATTTTAATACTCAATTACCTTTAGTACTTAGCCTAGATCTTCACCATATCCATTTCATCTTTAATCATTTGTGATTTGTTTTTTAAGATACTTGTATTGTCTTTGGTTATGCATTTCCTGAATTGGTTTTAGAAGTGGGGGAGAGATGATGCTGGCAGTTGCAGTGAAGCTAAGACGACGATATTCCTGTCATTTGTTTAGTGTTTATCATGTTCCAGGCACAACAGAAAATAGCCTATGTGCATTAACTTGTTGACTCTTCAGAAAGATCCACTGGGGCAGGTACTATTATGCCCGTTTTAGGGATGGTGAAACTGAGGGTTAGAAGTAAGCTCACATGGAGTTAGAGCCTTTTTACCCATGTTACATTTGGTTCTACCCTCAAGCTAGTACAGTCTAATATAAACATAATGTGAGCCATGTCTGACTCACGGATTTTAGAAGTCATTAGAAAGGCACAAAAATTAGTAAAATTAATTTTATAACATTTCATTTAACCCAGTGTATCCAAATACTATCACTTCAACATGTAATCAAGTGGAATAATTATTAGTGAGAAATTTTCCATTCTTTATGAGCTTTCAAAATCCACTGCATATTTTACACTTGTACCAAATCTCATTTCAAATGCTACATTTTCACTGGAAATACTGGTCTGTATTTAGATTTCGTAAAATGCACAGTTGAAGAAGTGGATTCATATACATATTTCAAACATGCTTAAAGGTTTTCCAATAGCTGGATTGAGTATCTGTTTTTAATTTGAATCTGAAATAATTAAAATGGAGTAAGATGAAAAAAAAATCAGTTTTCCAGTCTTACTAGCTGCATTTTAATAGCTTTATGTGCCTCGTGGCTTCTGTAGTAGGCAGCAGGGAGAAACTCTTAACCACTTTGCTACAGAGCTTCCTCTAGTAGAGTTCTTGAAATGATTGCCCCCACCAGGACTCCTGGGGCAGGAAGATGAAGCTGTGACTCCAAAGCTGAGCTCCTGGAAGGCTCCTGGCTTTATGCTGAGCTGAGTCTGCTGATTCTCATGCTCTGTCATATCTTGCAGCTGTCTCCGGTAGCCTGCTAAATTTTGGTGGTTGGGTTTATACTTTGGAATCCCTTGTTAGGAGACTTAAAGGAGACTCTAGTAAGATGATGTATTTGGAGAAGAGGCTCTCAAACAGTGAAAGTTTTCCCCAGGACCCCAAAGAGCTGCAAACAGCCTGGGAGAGGAGCCTAAACAGACATGCTGTGACCACACCTCCTTCCATTCCCTCCCATCCTTACCTGCTCTGCCCACTGCCCATCCTTGGTCAAGAAACAGAGGCAAGAAGTAAGGCAAATTAGGAAGAGAATGGAAAGAAAACAGTAAGTAGGAGAGGGAAGAAAAGTGGAAAGGAGAAAGCCCGTCCTTGAAAGAACTCAGTTTGAGTATCACGAAGATGGTAGTGGTCATATGTGTGTTTTCACAGACTATGACTCACTTGCTCCGTTTACTCGTAAGACAATTGTCAATAATTTAGCGATGGGATCCTGTCCGAGCCAGACAAGTACCAGCTCTGAGGAATGCAGCCGTGAGTCAGGCAAACCCAGGCCTTGAGGAGGTCAGTGTGCCCTGAGATACTTTGGGTCAAATGAAGCCCCCCACCTGCTCCTTTAGAGAAACAATAACATATCAATAAAAGTGGCGAAAAATAGAACCTTTGGTGCTAATACGTTTGTCATTAATAATGTGACATGGTTTATCCCAGCTGTTGTGAGATACAGTGGTACCTCGGTTCATGAACTTGATGATTCTGTTCAGACTGAGTTGGACAAGAACAGAATCAAATTCAATGATTAGGTTCAATGTTGATCTTATGGGGAAATTTGATTTGCTTCTTGTCCAGTTCAGTTTGCGAACAGAATTGCAGAGAGAATTGAGTTTGTGAACCAAGGTACCACTATAATATACCTTTGGGCTCATTTCTGTGTCTTTCCCCTGTGTGCAATATGTGTTTACCAGTACAGTACCAGGTGCATAAACCTTTATCTGAAGCTTATGGTATCAGACATGTTTCAAACTTGACAATGTTTGGAATTTAAAAGGCAAAATATTTGCATATACCATGTACTTAATAACACTCCTAGTAAGCTCTGTGGCAGCACCCCATAGTCAAGTGCCCTGTACTAATACCTCCACAGCAAAACTTACACATATTCACAATAAGTAGGATAGATTAAGACTGTAAATAGCATCAGAACAGCTCAGCTCAAGTTTTACCACCAAATTACGTTATATAACTATGTAAAATGACTTGTTCCAGAGCATTTGAGGTTTTAGAATTTCATTCAGGGTATCACCCTATATTGTCTACCTGCATAACTACATGAAGAGAGAAGCTGTTGTGTGTATATTTTGGGAAGAATCCCCACCATATACGGAACAGCTGATTTCTGAGATGCCCTGTGGTGAAGGGTGTGTGGTTGGGGTCACAACAATTTGGAGAAGCTGTATGGACTGTCCCCTTTCAGGAGCCATAGAGATCCCAGTGGGGGTTCTGAGCCATCAGGGAGAAATCTGTGTATTGATACTTAATCTTTTGACTCCAATCTAAGTTTAACCTTATGCCTCTTTTGCTCAGGTGAACATCTTAGCATAGAGATATTATTTTATAGATAGGTGGCTCTTCATTCGCTTTTCCTGGGACAGCCCTGGTTTCCTCCTCTTGTCTTGGTGAAATTGTTGAGAGCATCTATTTCAACATGAGCTTCAGTTTGGATAATAAATGATAGAATCTCCCTATCCATAGAGATTTACAAAAGGTGTCTTGGCACATGTGGCTTTGGTTCATCTTCAATTTGTGGGTTAGGTCCACATTTTTCTATAGAGGTTAAAGCAGAAAATATTTTCGTTTTAGTGACCCTTGAAGTCTCTGTTGTACTATAATTACTCAACTCTGACATTGTACCATGAAAGCTGCCATAGACAATATGTGAATGAATAGATATATCTGAGTTCTGGTAAAATTTTTATGTACAAACACGAGTGGTGGACTGGATTTGAATTCCAGGCCATGGTTTGTGGAAAGTACCCTGAGATGGGTGATCAAGCTGAGGTGGAGATATGGCTAACTAATTAAGTTCAAGAGCACACAGCGAATCATTGTCAAAGCTGTGGCCAGAATCCAAAGGCCTGGTCCCTAGGCCGTCTCCATTGTATCTCTGAGAGTAACCATCGGTGATCTCCAGGGCTCATGGATAGCCCTAGGAGGCCTTAGGAGTCTAATTAGAAGCCCCCTCCCTGGGTCTGGTACAAATGGGCACAGGATGGGACCACAGATTGAAGGACAATGAGCAGGAAAAGTGACCCAGAAGGAGGACAGTCTCACCATTTGCCATGCTCTTTGATGGAATTTTGGGGAAAAGGGCGTTTCCTGAGCTCCCGATAGTCCTTTCTCTGAGGCAAGCCTGTTGCCTCTCATTTA